ATCCGTTTTCCAGAGAAACGACTCCCGCGACATCGAGAGGCATCGGCGCTCCTTCCGCCTCTCGCTCGGAGGGCCACCGAGGCCGAGGCCCTGCAAGTCGACGGCGTCCGAGGGCGACGTTGTCCGTCGGCCGAGGCGGGGCCGTCCTTCGGCTGCTCTCGTCTGCTCTGCCGGAGGGTCGGGGATCCTCACGGCGGCTCTTCGGCCCAAGTGCGCGAGGGGGGCGAGGGGGCCCGCTGGCTGGAGGGGGACCTGGAGGGGGACCTGGAGGGGACCTGGAGGCGGACCTGGAGGAGGACCTGGAGGCGGACTTGACGGCGGACCTGGAAGACCTGGAGGAGGACCTGAGGAGGACCTGGAGGAAGACCTGGAGGAAGACCTGGAGGAGGACCTGGAGGCGGACCTGGAAGAGGACCTGACGGCGGACCTGGAGGACTTGGCGGCAGACCTGGAGGAGGACCTGGAGTAGGACCTAGAGGAATACCTGGAGGCGGACGTGGAGGACGACCTGAAAGACCTAGAGGACCTGGAGGGAGACCTGAAAGGCCTGGAGGCGAACCCGGAGGTGGACCTGGAGGAGGACCTGGAGGACTTGGCGGCAGACCTGGAGTAGGACATCGATGAGGACCTGAAAGACCTGGAGGAAGACCTGGAGGAGGACTTGACGGCGGTGGTGGTGGAGGTGATGGCGGTGGTGGTGGTGACCCCCCTCTCCCTCTCTCTCTCCCCCTCTCCCTCCTCTCCCTCTCTCTTCCTCCTCTCTCTCTCTCTCTCTCCCACCTATCCTTCTCTCTCTCCCCCCTCTCCCTCTCTCTCTCCCACCTCTCTCTCTCTCTTTCTCCCACCTCTCTCTCTCTCTCTCCCACCTATCCTTCTCTCTCTCCTCCCTCTCTCTCTCTCCCACCTCTCTCTCTCTCTCCCCCCTCTCTCCTCTCTCTCTCCCACCTCTCTCTCTTCTCCCACCTCCTCTCTCTCTCTCTCTCTCACCTATCCTCTCTCTCTCTCCCACCTCTCCTCTCTCTTCCTCCCACCTCTCCCTCTCTCTCTTTCTCCCACATCTCTCTCTCTCCCACCTATCCTTCTCTCTCTCCCACCTATCCTTCTCTCTCTCCCACCTCTCCTTCTCTCTTCCTCTCACCTCTCCCTCTCTCTTACTCCCACCATGTGGAGTTTGCACTGCGTTAACCTTATACATTGCACAAAGGCCGCCAACGTCGAGCCGTTGTTACCATGGTTGAAGTGTGGCATCCTGCGGTCGCCGTGTTTTCTAGAGTATGATAACGTCTGCCCTCTTCTGAACCTGATCCAGATATGAAGGCAGAAAGGCAGACCACAAAAGCGGACTGTACTCTGTAAGACTGCTGATTTGCGACCTGTTCAGTATTGTTCCACCAGGCCCATCCAGATGGCTGATGGGACAGATGCATCCAAGCTTACTGTCATTCTCTAGGAATGCTCAGGACCTCACTTGCCATCACTAGGAATGCTCGGAACCTTACTTATATTCGCTAGGAATGCTCGCAACCTTACTTATATTCACTTGGAATGCTCGGAATCTACCATTCACTAGGAGTGCTCAGCATCTACCTTTCATTAGGAATGCTTGAGATCTGGCTACCATTCAAAATGAATCTTTGTGATCTGACTACCATTTACTAGGAATGCTAGGGATCTATCATTTACTAGGAATACTTGGGTTCTTCCTACCATTCCAAAGGAGTGCTCAAGATCTCAACTAACATTCAAAAATACTCTAGATCTCAATATCGTTCAGAATGCTCAGGATCTCATTGTCCATCAGTAGGAATGCTTGTGGCCTCATTATTGTTCACTAGGAATGCTCAGGATCTAACTACCATTCACTAGAAATTCTCAGGATCTATTACTAAGAATGCTTGTGGCCTCAATACATACATACATATGAATACTCGGGATCTAACTACCGCTCAATAGGAACGCTAGGGATTTAACTGTCATTCAAAAGGAATGTTCAGGATTTCACTACCAATCACTAGGAATGCTCGAGATCTAACTACCATTCACTAGCAATACTCAGGATCTCACCTTTCAAAAAAGGGATAATCAGGAAGTAAAACTTAAAATGAATGCTTGGGATCTCAACTATTCACACTGGAATTGTTTAGGATCTAACTACCACTCACCCGGAATGCTAGGGAACTCACTGTCATTCACCAGGAATGCTAGGGATCTCAATACCATTCACTAGCAATGCTCAGGATCTCTCTATCATATGAAAGCAATGCTCAAAGTTTTACTACCATTCACTAGGAATGCTCAAAATCTAACTATCATTCACTAGGAATGCTCAAAATCTAACTACCATTCACTAAGAATGCTCACAATCTAACTACCATTCACTAAGAATGCTCACAATCTAACTACCATTCACTAGGAATGCTAGGGATCTCGCTAACATACAAAGGGAATGCTCTAGATCTCGATACGATGCAACAGGAATGCTTGTCCTCACTCATTTTCACTAGCAATGGTCGGGATCAAACTACCATTCAAAAGCAATGTTCGGGATCCAACTACCATTCCATACAAATGCTAGAAATGAACTACAATTCACTAGGAGTGCTCAAGATCTACCATTCAAAAGGAATGATCGGGATCTCACTACTATTCACTAGGAATACTTGGGATCTCATTACCGTTTCACCAGGACTGCTAAGGATCTCTACCACTCAAAAATAACAATCAGGATCTCGCTACCTTACACTAGCAATGAAAGGATCCAACTACCATTTCATTGGAATGCTTGGGAACTACCATTCGAAAGGAATCCACGGGATCTGCCTACCATTCAAAGGGAATGCTTGGGATCTCACTATCTTTCCATAGAAATGTTCAGGAACGAACTACCATTTTCCAGGAATGCTTGGGATAGAACTACCAATCACTAGGAATTGGACTGCGTGTGACCTCACTACAGTTCACTTGCAATGCCCAGGATCTAATGCTCATTAGGAATGTTCGGCATCTAATTATCATTCAAAAGGAACGTTTGGAATCTTACTATCGTTCATTAGGAATGTTTGGGATCTAAGTACCATTCACTAGGAGGGTTCTCTCTACCATAAAGAGGAATCAGGATCTCACCACCATTGAAAAGAAATGTTTGGGATCTAAGTACCATTCACTAGGAGGGTTCTCTCTACCATAAAGAGGAATCAGGATCTCACCACCATTGAAAAGAAATGTTTGGGATCCAACTGCCTTTCAATAAGGAATGGTCTGGATCTACCATTGACTAGGAATGCTCTGGATCTTACAACTATTCACTCGGAATTCTCAGAATCTCTACCATTTATATGGAATGTTTTGGGATCTCTACCATTCTCTGGGAATGCTTAGGATCACTAGTAATGCTCGTGATCTCACTACCATTCAATAGGAATCCCTAGGATCTAGCTATCATTCACTAGCAATGTTTGTGACCTCGCTACCATTCAAGGAGATGTTTCATGATCTCACTACCATTTAATACCATTCACTAAGAATGCTGGGGTACTTCCTACCTTTCAAAAAGAACGTTTAGGATAGCACTAATATTCACCAAGAATGCTCTAATATTTCTATAATTGAAATGAATGGTCAGGATTGCTCTACCATTCAGTGCAAATGCTCGAAATCTCACTAATCGTCCCTAGAAATGCTCGTGACTTCACTTACCTTTCACTATGAATGCTCGGAACATCTAGCATTCGCAATTGCCGGCTGAGTACATGTGGAGCCATCTGTATGTAACATAATTCACTAAAAACTACAGGGGACAGAACATAAATCCGTGGCGAATGGGTTAACAAATATTCATTACGAATGCTTGGGATGCAGCAAATATTCATCACTAGGAATGCTCGGGAGCTAAATACCATTCATTAGAAATAATCGATCTCGCTGCCAATCACTAGGAATGCTCAAGGTCTCTACCATTCAAAAGAAATGGCAGTGATCTCACTACCACTAAAAAGGAATGCTTAAGATCTTGCTACCATTCAAATGTATTGGTCAGGACCTACCTACCGATAACTAGGAATGCTCGGGGTTTTACCATTCACATCTTACTACCCATCAGTAAGAAATACACATATATACACACATGTGCACATACTTATATTCTTGTACATTTATTCGGAAACACATATATAATCAAATATTTATATATATACGTTTATATGTGTATATGTATACACATTCATATGTATATAAATATATATACATATATATACATATATACATATATATATATATATATATATATATATATATATGCATACTCATTTGTATGTGTATGTATATATACATATATACATACACATATATATACAAGTTCATATATACACATAAATCTATGTATATGTGTATACAGACATATATGCAAATATATAAATATCGATAAATAGATATATACATATAGATATATATGCAGATACACATATATACATATATACACATACATATATGCACATATTTACATATATATACACATACATATATTTATACATATAACGTTTATGTATATGTATGTATATATGTATGTATATGTATACATACATATATATATACACACACACGTGTATGTGTATATATATTGGTATATTTATTTATATATACACCTATATATACTTTACACACACACATACATATATATATACATACATGCTCACATCTGCCACCAACGATGCGTTGTTTGACGAACTACTTGACATCATGTACTTGACTGGATTCTTATACTGGGGCGGCTAACAAGTGATCCTTTCCCAGGGGAGTCGTTGTGAGGTAATCATTGTTGGTTCTCAACCATCATATCGACGATAAACTCACCCACTGTGTGCATGAATGCGCGCAGCACAGGCGCACGCAAGCACGCGCGCACACAGACACATGAGTATAAGGACACAAAAACACACGTATACTTACATACACACATGTGTACATATATATATATCACATGTATATATATATATATTACATATGCATGAATGTATATATGCACAGACACACATACATATATGTATGTGTGTGTGTGTGTGTGCGTGTGTGTGCGCGCGCGCGCGCGTTTGTTTATATATATATATTTACACATATAAGTACATATTTATCGCAATGCCGCCGGGGAAAATGTTGGGCTCATTCCTTACATTTTCTGTGATATGTCTCTGCCCATAGATGGCTCTGCTAGTGCTTGGCCACAAAGGAGTCAGTTAGTAGACCTTGTGGCCTTACCCGATTTGAATTGGCGGGGAAAATGTATTTCTACTAGTGCTATGAATAGTTGAAACAAATGTTGAAATAAACCATTCCAGAGACAAAACAACAATAACAAGAATGAAAATAATAAAAGTAGAAAAAAAAATTATATATCGAACACCAAAGCAAATGTATATGTACGATATTTTTTTAGATAAATCATATCCCGGAATAGCTAACAACGCCGAAACCCTACCGAACCGCATGCACCTAAACAACGCTGGAATCTTCCTACAAAAAAATAAAATAAAAATAAATCGTCACAAGAACCAAGGCCGGTTCGTTTCTAACGACGCTGAAATTTCTAACAACGCTGTAACTTCTAACAACGCCGAAATCCCTACAACGTTAAAGCAAAACTTTCTTCAAATGAAACAAGTTCTCAAAATATAGTCGAGCTGGATTGCCAGAAATACTCAAATAAGTGTACCAACAGACGCCCACGCCCTCAGCTCGGCCCTCGGCTGCAGGAGGGCGTCTCCGTCGGTGTGCCTCAAAAAATATTCACAATGTGTAGAAAATATAAACAAGTGACTCACAGTGGGCATGGCGCGTACGTAAAAGTCATGGCCGTCGGCATTGGGTTATACATATATACATACATACATATTTATACATACATATATTCATATATATATATATATAGATCAGTAACATATATACATATATACATATATATACATACATATGCACATACATATTCATAATATGTACTTACTTATACATAGATATATATACATGTAAATACATGAATACATATACATATGCATACATAAATAAATGTATAAATATATACATAAAATGTGTATATATCAAAGATACCACTAGTTAGATTTACAAAATAATTTAAAATTCAAGAAAAAAATCCAATGGCGTGTAAGGTAAATTAAGAATCTCAGTTTTCAATAAATGCAACAAAATTTACTGCAAAGTAACCCATATGGAATACTATAAAATATAAAGTGGTATCAATGGTATCTTAGGAGTAAATTTGACATAAATGGAGTATTAAAGGATAACCACCACGTTTGTGCACAACTTTGCATTTTTTCATTGCTGAGATACTACTTGTTGCAAAAAAAAAATTCTGTCTAAAAATATAGTTTTGAAGCATTTTTTTACCGAAATACGCGTCGTCTGCTACAGCTTTAACTCAAACATTACCAGTAGCGCCACCAACCCGGGAATGACGTCATGAGGAGTTCATTTTCTTTATCATCGCCGTGAATGCATGGATGAGAACCTTGTGTGTGATATTTTCGTGTCATATTTTGGACGCAAATGTCATATCACACTAAAATATCACACACAAGGTTCTCATCCATGCATTCACGGCGATGATAAAGAAAATGAACTCATGACGTCATTCCCGGGTTGGTGGCGCTACTGGTAGTATTTGAGTTAGCGCTGTAGCAGACGACACTTTAGGCCCAGAATTTGTTCATTCAAAAGGCTATAAATATAAAACGTGTTTTATTCATTTTTTTAAAATCTTATGCATATTTGGAGGTACAAGAACAAATTCTGATCTGAATATCATACACTTAATTTACATAGTGGTTACTCTTTAATGTAAGTTCAAAACCCAAGCCTCATCATCAGTGCAAAAAGGTGGCCGGTCAAAACAGTACGTTTAATCGACATAACATTGTATATAAACAAATCAAAATACATGTTGACAATCTAAAAGTTTTACACCTGGGCGGCTAACAATTGATCCTTCCCCAGGGGAGTAGTTGGTTAGGTCATCATTGTTAGTGGTTCTCAACCATCATATCGACGATAGACTCACCCACTGTGGACACACACATACATGTGTATGCGTGTGCGTCCGTGCGTGTGTGTGTGTAAGCACACACGCACACACACACACACAGACACAGAGAAGTGTATAGAGACACAAAACACATAGATA